CTATGCTGTGACAGGGAGATGCTATGCTGTGACAGGGAGATGCTATGCTGTGCCAGGGAGATGCTATGCTATGCCAGGGAGATGCTATGCTGTGACAGGGAGATGCTATGCTGTGACAGGGAGATGCTATGCTGTGACAGGGAGATGCTATGCTGTGACAGGGAGATGCTATGCTGTGACAGGGAGATGCTATGCTGTGACAGGGAGATGCTATGCTGTGACAGGGAGATGCTATGCTATGCCAGGGAGATGCTATGCTGTGACAGGGAGATGCTATGCTGTGACAGGGAGATGCTATGCTGTGACAGGGAGATGCTATGCTGTGACAGGGAGATGCTATGCTGTGACAGGGAGATGCTATGCTATGCCAGGGAGATGCTATGCTATGCCAGGGAGATGCTATGCTGTGACAGGGAGATGCTATGCTGTGACAGGGAGATGCTATGCTGTGACAGGGAGATGCTATGCTGTGACAGGGAGATGCTATGCTGTGACAGGGAGATACTATGCTATGCCAGGGAGATGCTATGCTGTGACAGGGAGATGCTATGCTGTGACAGGGAGATGCTATGCTGTGACAGGGAGATGCTATGCTGTGACAGGGAGATGCTATGCTGTGACAGGGAGATGCTATGCTGTGACAGGGAGATGCTATGCTGTGACAGGGAGATGCTATGCTGTGCCAGGGAGATGCTATGCTATGCCAGGGAGATGCTATGCTGTGACAGGGAGATGCTATGCTGTGACAGGGAGATGCTATGCTGTGACAGGGAGATGCTATGCTGTGACAGGGAGATGCTATGCTGTGCCAGGGAGATGCTATGCTGTGACAGGGAGATGCTATGCTGTGACAGGGAGATGCTATACTGTGACAGGGAGATGCTATGCTGTGACAGGGAGATGCTATGCTGTGACAGGGAGATGCTATGCTGTGCCAGGGAGATGCTATGCTATGCCAGGGAGATGCTATGCTGTGACAGGGAGATGCTATGCTGTGACAGGGAGATGCTATGCTGTGACAGGGAGATGCTATGCTGTGACAGGGAGATGCTATGCTGTGCCAGGGAGATGCTATGCTGTGACAGGGAGATGCTATGCTATGCCAGGGAGATGCTATGCTGTGACAGGGAGATGCTATGCTGTGACAGGGAGATGCTATGCTGTGACAGGGAGATGCTATGCTGTGACAGGGAGATGCTATGCTGTGACAGGGAGATGCTATGCTGTGCCAGGGAGATGCTATGCTATGCCAGGGAGATGCTATGCTGTGACAGGGAGATGCTATGCTGTGACAGGGAGATGCTATGCTGTGACAGGGAGATGCTATGCTGTGCCAGGGAGATGCTATGCTATGCCAGGGAGATGCTATGCTGTGACAGGGAGATGCTATGCTGTGACAGGGAGATGCTATGCTGTGACAGGGAGATGCTATGCTGTGACAGGGAGATTCTATGCTGTGACAGGGAGATGCTATGCTGTGACAGGGAGATGCTATGCTATGCCAGGGAGATGCTATGCTGTGACAGGGAGATGCTATGCTATGCCAGGGAGATGCTATGCTGTGCCAGGGAGATGCTATGCTATGCCAGGGAGATGCTATGCTGTGACAGGGAGATGCTATGCTGTGACAGGGAGATGCTATGCTGTGACAGGGAGATGCTATGCTGTGACAGGGAGATGCTATGCTGTGACAGGGAGATGCTATGCTGTGACAGGGAGATGCTATGCTATGCCAGGGAGATGCTATGCTGTGACAGGGAGATGCTATGCTGTGACAGGGAGATGCTATGCTGTGACAGGGAGATGCTATGCTGTGACAGGGAGATGCTATGCTGTGACAGGGAGATGCTATGCTATGACAGGGAGATGCTATGCTATGCCAGGGAGATGCTATGCTGTGACAGGGAGATGCTATGCTGTGCCAGGGAGATGCTATGCTATGCCAGGGAGATGCTATGCTGTGACAGGGAGATGCTATGCTGTGACAGGGAGATGCTATGCTGTGACAGGGAGATGCTATGCTGTGACAGGGAGATGCTATGCTGTGACAGGGAGATGCTATGCTGTGACAGGGAGATGCTATGCTATGCCAGGGAGATGCTATGCTGTGACAGGGAGATGCTATGCTGTGACAGGGAGATGCTATGCTGTGACAGGGAGATGCTATGCTGTGACAGGGAGATGCTATGCTATGCCAGGGAGATGCTATGCTGTGACAGGGAGATGCTATGCTGTGCCAGGGAGATGCTATGCTATGCCAGGGAGATGCTATGCTGTGACAGGGAGATGCTATGCTGTGACAGGGAGATGCTATGCTGTGACAGGGAGATGCTATGCTGTGACAGGGAGATGCTATGCTGTGACAGGGAGATGCTATGCTATGCCAGGGAGATGCTATGCTGTGACAGGGAGATGCTATGCTGTGCCAGGGAGATGCTATGCTATGCCAGGGAGATGCTATGCTGTGACAGGGAGATGCTATGCTGTGACAGGGAGATGCTATGCTGTGACAGGGAGATGCTATGCTGTGACAGGGAGATGCTATGCTGTGACAGGGAGATGCTATGCTATGCCAGGGAGATGCTATGCTGTGACAGGGAGATGCTATGCTGTGCCAGGGAGATGCTATGCTATGCCAGGGAGATGCTATGCTGTGACAGGGAGATGCTATGCTGTGACAGGGAGATGCTATGCTGTGACAGGGAGATGCTATGCTGTGACAGGGAGATGCTATGCTGTGACAGGGAGATGCTATGCTATGCCAGGGAGATGCTATGCTGTGACAGGGAGATGCTATGCTGTGACAGGGAGATGCTATGCTGTGACAGGGAGATGCTATGCTGTGACAGGGAGATGCTATGCTATGCCAGGGAGATGCTATGCTGTGACAGGGAGATGCTATGCTATGCCAGGGAGATGCTATGCTGTGACAGGGAGATGCTATGCTATGCCAGGGAGATGCTATGCTGTGACAGGGAGATGCTATGCTGTGCCAGGGAGATGCTATGCTGTGCCAGGGAGATGCTATGCTGTGACAGGGAGATGCTATGCTGTGACAGGGAGATGCTATGCTGTGACAGGGAGATGCTATGCTGTGACAGGGAGATGCTATGCTATGCCAGGGAGATGCTATGCTGTGACAGGGAGATGCTATGCTGTGACAGGGAGATGCTATGCTGTGACAGGGAGATGCTATGCTATGCCAGGGAGATGCTATGCTGTGACAGGGAGATGCTATGCTGTGACAGGGAGATGCTATGCTGTGACAGGGAGATGCTATGCTGTGACAGGGAGATGCTATGCTATGCCAGGGAGATGCTATGCTGTGACAGGGAGATGCTATGCTGTGACAGGGAGATGCTATGCTGTGACAGGGAGATGCTATGCTATGCCAGGGAGATGCTATGCTATGCCAGGGAGATGCTATGCTGTGACAGGGAGATGCTATGCTGTGCCAGGGAGATGCTATGCTATGCCAGGGAGATGCTATGCTGTGACAGGGAGATGCTATGCTGTGACAGGGAGATGCTATGCTGTGACAGGGAGATGCTATGCTGTGACAGGGAGATGCTATGCTGTGACAGGGAGATGCTATGCTGTGACAGGGAGATGCTATGCTATGCCAGGGAGATGCTATGCTGTGACAGGGAGATGCTATGCTGTGACAGGGAGATGCTATGCTGTGACAGGGAGATGCTATGCTGTGACAGGGAGATGCTATGCTATGCCAGGGAGATGCTATGCTGTGACAGGGAGATGCTATGCTGTGCCAGGGAGATGCTATGCTATGCCAGGGAGATGCTATGCTGTGACAGGGAGATGCTATGCTGTGACAGGGAGATGCTATGCTGTGACAGGGAGATGCTATGCTGTGACAGGGAGATGCTATGCTGTGACAGGGAGATGCTATGCTATTTCAGGGAGATGCTATGCTGTGACAGGGAGATGCTATGCTGTGCCAGGGAGATGCTATGCTATGCCAGGGAGATGCTATGCTGTGACAGGGAGATGCTATGCTGTGACAGGGAGATGCTATGCTGTGACAGGGAGATGCTATGCTGTGACAGGGAGATGCTATGCTGTGACAGGGAGATGCTATGCTATGCCAGGGAGATGCTATGCTGTGACAGGGAGATGCTATGCTGTGCCAGGGAGATGCTATGCTATGCCAGGGAGATGCTATGCTGTGACAGGGAGATGCTATGCTGTGACAGGGAGATGCTATGCTGTGACAGGGAGATGCTATGCTGTGACAGGGAGATGCTATGCTGTGACAGGGAGATGCTATGCTATGCCAGGGAGATGCTATGCTGTGACAGGGAGATGCTATGCTGTGACAGGGAGATGCTATGCTGTGACAGGGAGATGCTATGCTGTGACAGGGAGATGCTATGCTATGCCAGGGAGATGCTATGCTGTGACAGGGAGATGCTATGCTATGCCAGGGAGATGCTATGCTGTGACAGGGAGATGCTATGCTATGCCAGGGAGATGCTATGCTGTGACAGGGAGATGCTATGCTGTGCCAGGGAGATGCTATGCTGTGCCAGGGAGATGCTATGCTGTGACAGGGAGATGCTATGCTGTGACAGGGAGATGCTATGCTGTGACAGGGAGATGCTATGCTGTGACAGGGAGATGCTATGCTATGCCAGGGAGATGCTATGCTGTGACAGGGAGATGCTATGCTGTGACAGGGAGATGCTATGCTGTGACAGGGAGATGCTATGCTATGCCAGGGAGATGCTATGCTGTGACAGGGAGATGCTATGCTGTGACAGGGAGATGCTATGCTGTGACAGGGAGATGCTATGCTGTGACAGGGAGATGCTATGCTATGCCAGGGAGATGCTATGCTGTGACAGGGAGATGCTATGCTGTGACAGGGAGATGCTATGCTGTGACAGGGAGATGCTATGCTATGCCAGGGAGATGCTATGCTGTGACAGGGAGATGCTATGCTATGCCAGGGAGATGCTATGCTGTGACAGGGAGATGCTATGCTGTGCCAGGGAGATGCTATGCTATGCCAGGGAGATGCTATGCTGTGACAGGGAGATGCTATGCTGTGACAGGGAGATGCTATGCTGTGACAGGGAGATGCTATGCTGTGACAGGGAGATGCTATGCTGTGACAGGGAGATGCTATGCTGTGACAGGGAGATGCTATGCTATGCCAGGGAGATGCTATGCTGTGACAGGGAGATGCTATGCTGTGACAGGGAGATGCTATGCTGTGACAGGGAGATGCTATGCTGTGACAGGGAGATGCTATGCTATGCCAGGGAGATGCTATGCTATGACAGGGAGATGCTATGCTATGCCAGGGAGATGCTATGCTATGACAGGGAGATGCTATGCTATGCCAGGGAGATGCTATGCTATGACAGGGAGATGCTATGCTATGCCAGGGAGATGCTATGCTATGACAGGGAGATGCTATGCTATGCTATGCTATGCTATGCTGCACAACAGTGGTGGCAAGGAATGGAGATGCGTCATTTTCCCCAAAGCTCTGTTCAGTCTATCGTGCCAGACTATCTGTTTTTTTCTTTGCTCCAAACCTCCAGATCCGCGAACCTACATCCACACCACCAGGTACAGCATTAAGCCCCCACGCGGGATATTATTGCATCACCTTTCCCCCCCTTCCCCTCCCCTCCTCCCCCACCCCCCCCCCTCCCCCAATTCTCTCCCCCGCTCTGTTACCGCCCACCCGGCACCACTAGGTACGGCATCAAGCCCCCGCGTGGGATATTATTGCACGGGCCGCCCGGCACGGGTAAGACGTCGCTGGCTCGGGCAGTGGCGGCGGAGGCTGGGGCGGCGTTGTTTGTCATTAATGGGCCGGAGCTTGTGAGCGAGTTCTTTGGGGAAAGCGAGGAGGCTCTTAACGAGGTGTTTTCTGCCGCCCAGGAGGCTGCGCCTTCCATTGTGAGTGGTGCAGTGCGGCGTGGGGTGGTGTGGTGTGGTATGGGGTAGCCTAGATGCAAAGCACCTGTCTCACCGCATGGTGGCGGCCGTTCTCACGATCCTGGATGCCGCCTCCTCTCCCGTACTCCCCCTCCACACCCCTCCTCAACCTTCCTGACCCCTTCTAACCCCCTCCTCACCGCACCTCACCGCACTGCACCCAGGTGTTCATAGACGAGCTAGACGCCATAGCCCCAGCGAGAACCCGGGATGCAGAGGACCTCTCTCACCGCATGGTGGCGGCTCTTCTCACCATCCTTGATGGCACCTCCTCAAGTGGTGGAGATGGGGGGGGAGGACAAGGCGAGGGAAGAGGGGGCGGAAGAGGAGAAGGGGAAGAAGGGGTGGGAGGGAAGGGAAGGAAGGCGGTGGCGTTGGGGAGAGGGGTGGTGGTGATTGGGGCGACCAACCGGGTGAATGCGATTGACCCAGCACTTAGGCGGCCTGGGAGGTTCGACCGAGAGGTGGAGATTGGTGCGTGGTGGTGAGAGCAGGGGATTGTTGGGGGGGGGTGTTGGAGTGTGAGGAGTAGGAGGGGGGGTAATAGGGGGAGGAGGGAATGGCTGATTGCGATTGATCCCGCTCTCAAGGGAGGAGGGACCTGGTCGTTGTGAGAAGGAGGTGGAGATTCGTGAGTTGCATTGCAAGAGCACGGGATGGTTGAGGGATAAGGGTGGTGGTGGTGGGGGTGGTGGGAGTCACTCTTTTCCGGTCTCGAAATTCTCATGTGACGCGTGTGTGCTATTTTCAGGTTATTTCAGCCATGAGCCCTGTTTGTCTTACTTGCTTCGCTTTTGAGATAATGAATCGGAATTCGCCCAAAGTAACTCTCCCCACCCCAACCACTCTCCCCACCCTAACCACTCTCCCCACCCTAACCACTCTCCCCACCCTAACCACTCTCCCCACCCTAACCACTCTCCCCACCCCCTAACCACTCTCCCCACCCTAACCACTCTCCCCACCCTAACCACTCTCCCCACCCTAACCACTCTCCCCACCCTAACCACTCTCCCCACCCTAACCACTCTCCCCACCCTAATCAATGTGTGTAATTCTCAACACAGGTGTTCCCACCCCTTCCGACCGCCTCGCAATCCTCAACACCCAACTATCCCGCATGGCACACGCGCTGCCGGCCGAGGCCGTCCACGTCATCGCCAGCTCAGCAACGCACGGATTCGTGGGCGCTGACATCAGCGCGCTGTGCTCTGAAGCTGCCGTGGCAGCCCTGAGACGAATCGTGGGGGAGAAAGAGAAGCAGGGAGGGGCGAGACGTGGGGAGGAAAGCAGGGATAGGGGCCATGAATGTTCTACCAATGGTGGTGGTGCTGACGGTGCTGACAGTGCTGACAGTGCTGGGGATGCAGAAGGCCCCTGTGGAGTGCGCCTGGCAGTGTGCGAGGAGGACTTTGAAGTGGCCAGGCGACGCATTCGTCCCAGCGCTCTCAGAGAGGTGCGAGTGGCAGGGGAGGGAGGGGAGGTGGGCGGGGCATAGTGGTGGTACTGGCGGTACTGTTGAAGGAGGCAGTGGAGTGGCCGTACATGCGCGCACACGAGATGAGAGCCACTGGTTGCTGGTACACCCCCCTAAATTTGCTGGTCTGTTCCCATCTCCCCCTCCTCTCCCCCCCTCCCTTTCGCCTGCCAGGTGGCAGTGGAGGTGCCAACAGTGCGGTGGACAGACATTGGAGGGCTGGGAGGGATCAAGCAAAGGTTGAAGGAGGCGGTGGAGTGGCCGTACACGCGCGCACATGAGATGAGAGCCATTGGTGCCACCCCCCCACGTGGGCTGCTGCTCTACGGACCCCCGGGCTGCAGCAAGACGCTCTTAGCTAAGTATGTTGCTCAAGTTGACAGATGACGAGGAATCTTTTTGAAGCTCGCCTGGAGCATTTTCTCAATCTGCACCACTCGTGTTCACCCTCGCTTTGGAATCGTTAGACATTCCAGCGAGCAGCAGTTTAAAGGAGAAGGTTTAGCAGTTCGCTGGAATGTCTAACAATTCGCTTTTCTCTATCTACACCCTTGGTGTTCACCCTCGCTTTGCATACTGTGGCGTTTGGTATGAGTGCAGGGCAGTGGCAACAGAAGCTAGGCTCAACTTTCTTGCAGTCAAGGTGAGTCTATGTGTATAAAACTCAAGCCTTGCTCTCCAATCCCAAGCTGCCACGTGACAGTTTGCTCTCTCCACCTCCTCCTTCCTCTCTTTTTCTTCTTTTCCCCATTGCAACCCCCATTCCCTCCCTCCTCGCACGGCCTGAGGGAACATGTGTGAGGCTCATAAGGAGTACAAGTCCCCCTCTCTTATTTCCCGCAGGGTCCTGAGCTGCTGTCCAAGTGGGTGGGCGAGTCCGAACGAGCCGTCCGAACCTTGTTCTCCCGAGCCAAGGCAGCAGCTCCGGCGATTGTGTTCTTTGATGAGATAGATGGTCTGGCAGTGGCACGCAGTAAAGCAGGGGGGGGGAGCATCGGGAGGCGTGGGGGACAGAGTGATGACTCAGCTGTTGCTGGAGATGGATGGTGAGTGGCTTTGCGTGGGTCGTAAGCGTTCAGTTATTACTCTAAACGCTGCCAGCATGTGGGAGGGCCATCGGGAGGCGTTGGGGACAACTGCTGCTGGAGATGGACGGTGAGTGCCTGTGTTGATTCCTTTTCATTGGAGTGGCTTTGAGAGTTATCCACAGCAAAATGGGGGGGGGAGGAGCGTCGGGAGGTGTGGCATGGGGGACAGAGTGATGACTCAGTTGCTGCTGGAGATGGACGGTGAGTGCCTGAGTTGATATACCGGGAGGGATCTCTTGAGACCGAGCCCTCTTCACACACTCTCATCCACCCCCCTCTTAGACCGCGCCCTACTGAGACCCGTCCATTCGACCCATCTTTCGCGCTTTTCCCCTCCGCACCCCATCCCCTCCCTCTCAGCCCTAACCCCATCCACGCAGGTGACAGTCATCGCAGCAACCAACCGGCCAGACCTCTTAAATCGAGCTCTCCTGAGGCACTTCCATTCATCCCCCTCTTGTGCCTCTCTTTCCCCGGTCCTCCACACACCCCACACCCTCCCTGCCAGCCCTCACCCCATCCACCCAACAGTCATCGCAGAAACCAACCGGCCAGACCACTTAGATCGAGCCCTCCTAACGCCCTTACATTCATCACTCTCTTGTGCTTCACTTTCCCTGCCCCTCCAACCTCCACACACCTCACACCCTCCCTGCCAGCCCTCACCCCATCCACTCAAGTCACGGTGATTGCAGCAACCAATCGTCCAGACCTGTTAGACCGAGCCCTCCTGAGGCCTGGCCGCTTCGACCGCCTCCTTTTTGTCCCGCCGCCGGACCTTGCCGCCCGGGAGAAGATATTTGCGCTCTACCTGCGCGGCACGCCGCTGCATGCTGATGTGGACTCCTGCCAGCTCAGCTGCCAGCTGGCGGCGAGGAGCGAGGGGTACACGGGCGCTGACATCACTGCGATTTGTCGAGAGGCCAAGCTGGCAGCGCTGGAGGTGAGCTGGCAGTGGATGGGGATGAGCTGGCAGTTGGTGGGGATGAGCTGGCAGTGGGTGGGGATGAGCTGGCAGTGGATGGGGATGAGCTGGCAGTGGGTGGGGATGAGCTGGCAGTGGGTGGGGATGAGCTGGCAGTGGATGGGGATGAGCTGGCAGTGGATGGGGATGAGCTGGCAGTAGATGGGGGTGAGCTGGCAGTGGATGGGGATGAGCTGGCAAGGGCTGGGGATGCTTACTGATATGTTCTGTGCATTTGTGCTCAGTGCGAGAATGTTAGAGTGCTTACATTTACTGTACATGTGCTCAGTGTTCATTCGGTATACACACTCTGCCTCATCCCAATTCTTGCCCTGTTTTCAGGAAGATATTTCCGCAGCGTGTGTGAGCATGCGGCATTTCGATAAGGCGCTTGGTACAGTGAAGAAGAGTGTATCGCCCCTAGAAGCTGCATTCTATGCCAACTACCAAAGAGGATGATACAATCAAGAGTGAGCGCGCATGTCATTTTTATATGAATGAATATGCGTATCATTGTACCATGTATCATATCTTGGTTCAACGAGCACCACTTCATATTATATCTAATTGATGTAACTGATATGTGATACAGTACTTTGGTGTAGAAGAAATTCATGGAAATACATAGCTTTATAAGCACATTGACACAAACTAGCACAGCACAGCTACAGCCAGAGCAATAAGCAATTAGCTACGCAAAGATACTAGTAGTTCTAATGCAACTTGACCACTAGCACTGTAGGTGAAGCAGTAGCAACTGCGGGTGCTATCACACCTCTACTGAAAACACAAGGGCAAGGAAGAAGCAGAGCACGGCCTGTCAGAGTTATATGACATAGCTACTGTAGGCTATAGTGGGGTAGCACATATGGGGTACAGTTGCCTAGGGTTTGCCTTTTTTGTACCCAACTTTCACTTAGTCATTCATTCCTGTTTTCTTGATTCACATGGTATAGAGCGGGTTCCTACATGGGACCGTTCCTTCCTAAGGGCCCACCATAAGAAATTTTTTTTTGCTGCCCGCGCACATTGCGCCCTGCCCTAAATTTTTTTTTTTTTAGCGGCCCCTACGCTGCCCCTACGCGGCCCCTACGCCGCCTCCCACGCGCCCCCTATGCGGCCCCTGGCGACGCCCTGACGAGGCCCCTGCCGGCGCCCTATCGCGGCCCCTGACGCGCCCCCTGGTGGCGCCCTGACGCGGCCCTGACGCGGCCTGACGCGGCCCCTGGCGGCGCCCTGACGCGGCCCCTGCCGCGGCCCTGACGCGGCCCTGCCGCGGCCCCTGACGCGGCCCTGACGCGGCCTGCCGCGGCCCCTGCCGCGGCCCTGAAGCGGCCCCTGACGCGGCCCTGACGCGGCTCTGCCGCGGCCCTGACGCGGCCCTGACGCGGCCCTGCCGCGGCCCCTGGCGGCGCCCTGACGCGGCCCCTGACGCGGCGCCCTGACGCGGCCTCTGCCGCGGCCCTGACGCGGCCCTGCCGCGGCCCCTGACGCGGCCCTGACGCGGCCTGCTGCGGCCCCTGCCGCGGCCCTGAAGCGGCCCCTGACGCGGCCCTAACGCGGCTCTGCCGCGGCCCTGACGCGGCCCTGACGCGGCCCCTGACGCGGCCCCTGCCGCGGCCCCTTACGCGGCCCTGACGCGGCCCTGCCGCGGCCCCTGGCAGCGCCCTGACGCGGCCCCTGACACGGCGCCCTGAAGCGGCCCTGCCGCGGCCCCTGACGCGGCCCCTGCCGCGGCCCCTGACGCGGCCCCTGACGCGGCCCCTGTCGCGGCCCCTGACGCGGCCCCACCACCTACCTTTCCGGCCACGCCGCCTCCTCTCAGCGGCCCCGCCGCCTCCTCCCAGCGGCCCCGGACGCCGCCCTCTCAGCGGCCCCGCCGAGCCGCCCAGCAGCCTAGCCGCCCAGCAGCTCAGCCACCGAGCCGCCCAGCAGCCGAGCCGCCGAGCCGCCCAGCAGCCGAGCCGCCCAGCAGCAGAGCCGCCGAGCCGCCCAGCAGCCGAGCCGCTGAGCCGCCCAGCCGCCGAGCCGCCCAGCAGCCGAGCCGCCCAGCAGCCGAGTCGCCGAGCCGCCCTGCAGCCGAGCCGCCCGAGCCGCCCTGTCCGGTAAGAGCAGCGCCTCTCTCACAGCACTGCCCTCACCCCACTGTTTGCGCTGCTAGTCTACTGCTGTCATGGCTACCCCTAGTGTCCTCGCTTTTGACGCTGAGGGTCGGGCCATTGACTTTGACGTCTGGATAGATGACCTGCAGCTTTTCTTACAGTGCGATAGGGCAGACGGCCTCTCCCTCTTTGACCTCACTTCTGGTGCCTCTCCTGCCCCCGCCACTGATGCTGACGCAACTGTTCGCTCCCAGTGGGCCACGCGCGATGCTGCTGCACGTCTTGCTGTGCGTCGCCACCTGCCTACCTCTGAGCGTGCGCACTTTAGCCAGTACAAGAGTGCTCAGACCTTGTACGACGCTGTAGTTGCACGCTACTCCTCCCCTGCCACTGCTGCACTGAGTCGCCTCATGCTACCGTACCTCTTCCCTGACCTTGCTGCCTTTCCCACAGTCGCTGACCTCATTACGCACCTACGCACTAGTGACACTCGCTACCGCGCTGCGCTTCCTGCTGAGTTCTGCGCCAAGAACCCCCCCCCCATGTACATCACCCTCTACTACATAGTCACCCGGCTCCCTGACTCCCTTCGCGTAGTCAGGGACCACTTCCTCTCAGTTTGCCCCACCACTCTCACCGTTGACCTCCTCGAGAAGTCCCTCCTAGCAGCAGAGAAGAGCATAGTAGCTGTAGGAGCCTCTCGTGGTGACCCTCGCACCCCCATCTTTGAGGGGTGTTCCCCCTCCCCCCTTTTGCCCTCTGTTGCCTCTGCTGCTGCGGCCGACCTCGTTGGGCTTGAGTCGGTCGGTGCGGCGTCTACCCCTAGCGGGAGACGCCGCCCTGGCAAGGGCAAGGGGGGCAGGGGCGCTGGAGGAGCTAGCGGGGGCGGTGGAGGCGGCAGTGGAGGCGGTGGAGGAGGTGGGGGTGGCGGTGGGGGTGGTGGCGGGGGTGGAGGTGTCGGTGGCGGCAGTGGAGGCGGAGGCGGCAGCGGCAGTGGCGGAGGGAGCGGAGGTGGCGGCGGTGGAGGAGGAGGCGGCGGAGGAGGTGGAGCTGGTCGGGGTGGCGCTGCGCAGAGGGTCGGCTCCGGTGGTGGTCAGCGCCAGCAGCAGCAGCAGCACCAGCAGCGCACTCGTGACATCCCCTCCCCTCAGCAGCTCCGTGAGTGGTACACTGCACGCCAGAGGGGTGGGGGTACTGGTCCGTGCACCTACGTCCTCCGCACCGGCGACCGCGCGGGTGAGCAGTGCGGGGGTGCGCACTCCACCCAGCGCTGCTTTGGCCGCCTGACGGACGCTTGGCGTCACCAGTTCCCTGAGGCCACTGAGATCCCCCGCTGGGGTGAGCTGTCGAGGGCGGGTGTGGCTGTCTTTGACCTTGACTTTGATGCTATTCTTGCTGCCATGTATACTGTGACTATTAGTGATGAGGGTGACTGTTACCGGTGTTTTCCGCCCGACCCGGGCATTGAGACTGCTGCTCTAGGTACTGGTGAGGCTGCTGCTCTAGGTGCTAGCGAGGCTGCTGCTCTAGGTGCGTCTGCTCCCTCAGGTGCTGGTGAGTCTGCTCTCTCAGGTTCTGCGTCGGCTTCGGCCTCCCACACCTTCACCCTTGACTCGGGGGCTTCTCGCTCCTTCTTTCGAGACCGCACCACACTCACGCCGCTTAGCCGGCCAGTTGCAGTCTCTCTGGCAGACCCCTCTGGGGGTCCTGTCCTTGCTCACTTCTCCACTGTCCTCCCGTGTCCGGCGGCCCCCTCTGGCACCCTGTCTGGTCTTTACCTTCCCTCGTTCTCTACGAACTTGGTGAGTGGTGCTGACCTACAGGATGCGGGGGTTCACCAGTTCACTCCTGCGAGTCGGCGGGTGACCCACTGCACGGACGCTCGGACAGGCCGACACCTGGCCACGTTTACCCGTCGGCCGGGGTCGAGCCTGTACACCCTGACCACTGCGTCTCCTCCAGTCACTGCGTCTGGTCAGGTAGCTGCGTCGGGTCAGGTGTTTGCTGCAGCGTCCAGGTCTGGTCCTGAGTCTGCCCCCTGTTCGTGTCGCCTCCTGTCTCACGAGACTCTCCTCTGGCACCACAGCCTTGGTCACCCCTCCCTGCTTCGTCTCCGAAGCATGGCCTCCCGTGTCCTTGTCTCTGGTCTTCCCCGGTCCCTCCCTCCCCTTCCTCCGGGGCCTGGCCCTACCTGCGTCCCCTGTGTCGAGGGGCGGCAGCGGGCTGCCCCTCACTCCTCCCAGTTTCCTCCGACAGAGGCCCCGCTGCAGACGCTTCACATGGACGTGTGGGGCCCGGCCCGCGTCCGTGGACAGGGTCACGAGCGCTACTTCCTGCTGGTGGTTGACGACTACTCGCGTTACACCACAGTCTTCCCCTTGCGCAGCAAGGGTGATGTCACTGAGGTGTTGATCGACTGGATCCGCGTAGCTCGTCTCCAGCTCAGGCAGAGCTTCGGACTTTCCTGTTCAGCGTCTGCACTCTGACAGAGGTGGAGAGTTCTCCTCTGGCCTTCTGCGAGCCTACTGTCGTGCACGAGGCATCCGCCAGACCTTCACGCTTCCGGACTCTCCACAGCAAAATGGGATTGCTGAGCGCCGCATTGGCATGGTCATGGACGTCGCCCGTACGTCCATGATGCATGCGGCTGCCCCCCATTTTCCGTGGCCGTTTGCGGTTCGGTACGCGGCGCATCAGATCAACCTTCACCCCAGGGTCTCCATGCCGGAGACCTCCCCAGCTTTGCTGTGGACGGGGAAGGTTGGCGATGCGTCTGCATTCCGTGTCTGGGGATCTCAAGCGTTTGTCCGCGACTTGTCTGCGGACAAGCTGTCCCCTCATGCTGCTCCTTGCGTCTTCCTTGGCTTCCCCCCTGACGCGCCAGGGTGGCAGTTCTACCACCCCACCTCTCGCCGTGTCCTGTCCTCCCAGGACGTCACGTTTGACGAGTCGGTCCCCTACTACCGCCTCTTCCCCTACCGCACTCCGTCCCTCCCCCCGCCACCGCTCTTCCTTGTCCCAGGTCCCCCCCCGGTAGACCCCCTCCCCCCTCAGGGTCCTGCCCCTTCAGGTGTGTCCCAGGTAGACGCAGTCGAGCCTGTCGAGGTTACTGGTGACTCTGGTGCTGCTGAGGGTGCTGAGCCTGGGGGTGCTGACTCTGGGGGTGCTGAGCGTGTGGGTGCTACGCCTGAGGGTGCTACTACTGGGGGTGCTGAGCCTGAGGGTGCTGAGCCTGGGGGTGCTACTACTGGGGGTGCTGAGCCTTGGGGTGCTGAGCCTGGGAGTGCTACGCCTGGGGGTGCTACGCCTGGAGGTGCTGAGCCTGGGTGTGCGGAGCCTGAGGGAGCTGGGCCTGCTCGTGTGGCGTCTGGCGGTGCTGAGCCTGGAGGTTCTCCGGGTGCTTCGTCTCGGCGGGAGCCACTCTCTCCACAGGAGCTGCGCGAGTGGTTTGCCCGGCGCTGGAGGCGTGCTGCTGGAGCTGGAGGTTCTTCGGCTGCTGAGGGTGCTGGTGCCGCGGGTCCCGGAGGTGCTCGTACTGGGAGTACTGGAGCTGCTGGGCCTGCGGGTACGACTGGAGCTGGAGCTGCTGAGGGTGTTGGCGCTGAGGCTACTGCTGTCGGTCCTGGAGGCGGTCCTGCTGGGGGTGCTGGAGCTGGAGGTACTGCTGGCGCTGGTGCTGCCGCTGGGGGTACTGGTGCTGTCCCTGCTGTGTCTGGAGTTGCCACACGGCCTAGGCCGTACTTCGTTCCGCTCCTTCAGCAGGTTCTTGGTCTCCCGCCTTCTACTGGTCCTCCTCCTCCCTTAGAGTGTCCACAGCCTGTCCCGCCACAGTTACAGTTACAGCCGGCCTCCCCACTGCCCGCTCCTTCTCCCTACACTGGTCCTACTGGAGGTCTTGCTGAGCGTCGTGAGCCTGCGTCTCGCCCTGCGTCGCCTGTCCGTGCTGCTCGCACTAGTGCTCGTGGTTCGCGTCAGCGTCCTCCTCCTGTCCCTGGCACGCACCGGATGTCTCTGCGTCCGTCCACTGCTCCTCTGCGTGCCCCTTTGCCTTCTCCTCCTGAGTCCTCTCTTCCTGCTCTTCCTGACCCGGAGTCGGACTCTCTTCGTGCTGCCAGTCCTACTGTCACGCGTCTCCTTGCTACTGTTGTCACTGACCCTTCCTTTGAGTCCACTGCTGCGTCTGCCCTAGTTACTGAGCTCGTCGACTTTGCTGCTCGCTGTCGTCTAGACTACGCTGCTAGTCTTGTTGCTGAGTCTGAGTCTGTCTGTCCTCCGTCCGTCGGGGGTGAGTGTGCCCTTGGCACGGACGTCCTTGAGGACAGGCAGGAGGAGTTCCAGTGTTTGGCTGCTGCTTCACCTCATCTCGTGTCCGTACTGCTTACCCCTGAGGGAGACCCGGATGCACTTGACATCCCGACTCCGCGCTCTTACGCGGAGGCGATAGAGGGTCCCTACTCCTCTCAGTGGCAGGCAGCTATGGACGCAGAGATGGCTTCCTGGAAGTCCACAGGCACCTACGTTGACGAGGTTCCCCCGCCTGGGGCGAACATCGTCAGTGGCATGTGGATTTTCAGGGTGAAGCGGCCGCCGGGTTCTCCGCCTGTCTTCAAGGCGCGTTACGTGGCTCGTGGCTTCAGTCAGCGGCAGGGAGTTGACTACTTTCAGACCTTCTCTCCCACCCCGAAGATGACCACTCTTCGGGTACTGCTGCACATAGCTGCTCACCGCGACTACGAGCTGCACTCTCTTGACTTCAGCACTGCTTTCTTGCAGGGCAGCCTGCACGAGGAGATCTGGCTGCGTCGCCCACCTGGCTTCACTGGGTCTTTTCCTCCTGGCACCCAGTGGAGCCTCCGGCGGCCAGTCTACGGTCTCCGCCAGGCACCGCGTGAGTGGCACGACACACTGAGGACTACACTTGCGGCTCTTGGGTTTGCTCCCTCTACTGCCGACCCGTCGCTGTTTCTGCGCACCGACACTTCTTTGCAGCCGTTCTACATCCTCGTGTACGTCGACGACTTGGTCTTTGCCACAGCTGACACTGCTGGACTCGCCCACGTGAAGTCCGAGCTGCAGAAGAGACACACGTGCACAGACCTGGGTGAACTGCGCAGCTACCTTGGCTTGCAGATCACCCGGGACAGAGCACGCCGCACCATTACCCTGACTCAGTCACACATGGTGCAGCAGGTCCTTCAGCGCTTCGGCTTCACGTACTCCTCGCCTCAGGCCACTCCTCTGCCTACTCGCCACTCGCTCTCAGCTCTGCCTTCGGATGAGTCCGTAGAGTCGAGTGGCCCGTACCCAGAGCTTGTTGGCTGCCTCATGTACCTGATGACCTGCACACGACCTGACCTTGCATACTCTCTTAGCATTCTTGCACGCTATGTTGCTCCTGGGAGACACAGACCGGAGCACATGGCTGCAGCGAAGAGGGTGTTGCGCTACTTGTGCAGTACGTCGGGCATGGGGCTTGTGCTTGGAGGGCAGAGTCCAGTGGTCCTCACTGGACACGCAGACGCTTCTTGGGCTGACGACCAGGCTACGCAGCGGTCGTCACAGGGTTACACCTTCAGCCTTGGTTCCGGCTCTGTTTCGTGGCGGGCTACTCGCTCGTCGTCTGTTCTCGGCTCCAGTTGTGAGGCTGAGATCTACGCCGGGGCCATGGATGCACAGGAGCTTCGCTGGCTCACCTACCTGCTGACTGACCTCGGAGAGCCGCCTCGTTCTCCTCCAGTGCTCTACGTAGACAACAAGGCCATGCTGGCCTTGTGTCGAGAGCAGAGACTGGAGCACAGAACGAAGCACATTGCTCTTCGCTACTTCCTTGCTCGTGAGCTACAGCAGCGTGGTCAGCTGCGACTTGCGTACGTGGCCACTGAGGCCAACACTGCTGATATCTTCACCAAGGCACTTGCGCCTTGTGATCATCAGCGCTTCTGTACTCAGCTGGGTCTTGTACCTACCTTGCCTCACTTGCTCACCTCTTGACCTTGTTTGTACTGTTGCATATATATATACTCCTGCTCTTGCTTGTCTAGCCTTATATATATATGTAATCCTGCATGTGAACTGGCCTTGTGGCCTTGAACTTGTGCTCGGAATGTGTGGTGACTTTGTGATCCACCCTGAGCTTGCTTTGCTTTGCTTGACTGGTCTTGTGACCCCTTGTTCTCCCCCACTTTGCCTATGGGGGTGTGTCAGAGTTATATGACATAGCTACTGTAGGCTATAGTGGGGTAGCACATATGGGGTACAGTTGCCTAGGGTTTGCCTTTTTTGTACCCAACTTTCACTTAGTCATTCATTCCTGTTTTCTTGATTCACACGGCCACCACTGCACTGGCACTGCCATAGTGGACTGATGCCGCCTGTTCTGCCTTGCCGTAGCAACCAACAGCGTCGGCTGTGAACAGGTGCATACTTAGAGCACTAGGGCGAGGACGGGGCAGAGGAGAGCCACAGCCATCACTGGCAGTGGGTGGGGATGAGCTGGCAGTGGGTGGGGATGAGCTGGCAGTGGGTGGGGATGAGCTGGCAGTGGGTGGGGATGAGCTGGCAGTGGATGGGGATGAGCTGGCAGTGGATGGGGATGAGCGGGTGTACACTTAGAGCACCAGGGCAAGGACGGCGCAGAGCAGAGCCATAGCCATTACTGCACTGGAACTGCCACTGTGAACTGATGCTGCCTGTGCTGCTGCCTTGCCACTGCTGTTGCTGGGGGGTGAAGCAGCAGCAGGAGCGGTAGGAGGAGGGAGAGCAGCAGCAGGTGCAGGTGGTGTGGGGGCAGAGAGCGCTGCAGAGATGGTGTCAGAGGGGATGTCTGCCAGCGATGCATGGTTCCTGTTGAGGGTTGAGGGAACGGGTGAGAGAGGCTATAATTGAGGCGCCTCAGAAATAGATGGTGTCAGAGGGGATGTCTGCCCGCGATGAGAGGTTCCTGTTGAGGGTTGAGGGAAAAGAGAGGGAAGGGAGGGGACAAGTTGTGAGCAGTCTCAGGACTGAGCAGCAGGTGCAGGTGGTGCGTTGGCGGAGAGCGGTGCAGAGATGGTGTCAGAGGGGATGTCTGCCCGTGATGCTTGGTTTCTGCCAAGTGGATGCATGCACGGGAAGAGGGTGGGGAGGGAAGGGGGGAATGGGGTGAAGGGGGGAGAGGAGGGAGACGCCAATGTGTGGGTGTGTTCCATTCACGACTTTTATGGGTGTGTTGGTGCCGAATGTGACCTTGCAGGGCCGATAGGATGGGATGAAGTGTGAGTGGTGTAACAGGGTAGGAGTGTGGTGCGGTGCAGTGCAGTCTTGTCTGCACTTACTCAGCAGGGCAGCCGTTGACGACTTTCTTGGGTGTGTTGGAGCCGAATGTGATCTTGCAGGGCTGGTATGTGGCCCACACACGTAGTCTGTGTTGTGATGGAGTGCTAGTGTGGCGGAGCGGTTTGGAGTAGTGTGGTGTGGTGCGGTGTGGTGCAGTCTTGTCTGCACTTACTCAGCAGGGCAGCCGTTGACGACCTTCTTGGGAGTGTTGGAGCCGAATGAGAACTTGCAGGGCTGGTATGTGGGGATGAAGTTGGGCCCACACACGTAGAACTTGGAGAGCGTGGGGCTGTTGGGGTTCAGCCCGAGTGTTTCATTGTCGTACGACGCACAGAAGTCGTAGCACGCGTCCATCTCTGCGTGGGGGAGGGGAGGGGGAAAGGGGGAAAGGGGTGGGTAGGGGAGGGGTAAGGGGGTGGGTGTAAGCGCAATGTGGGGCTGGTAGGGTCCATGCCAAGCGTGTCGTTCTAAGGAAAGCACAGCACAAGGGATTTGTGTGTTGGAAGGCTGGTACTAGACATGGTGGGACGAATATGAAGGAGCCTAAAGAAGGAGGCGTGGATGGGCCTAGTGCTAGAAACGGTGGTGGAAGGAATGCTCCAGTCTCCAGAAATGTATTGAGCTCTGCACCGCACTACATCGAATTGCACCGCACTGCACCCACCCACCTGCAGCACAAACTTGGTGAAGTAGCCCGGGCCAATGGGGTAGGCGACATTGGGCGGGAAGGTGAAGGATCTGCCGCCCACAGCCCACACGGCGACAGTGGTGGCGCATGGCGTGTCGTGTAGGCAGTCAAAGTCCGCACCTGCGCCCTTGAGATTGCCGTACTCCTTGCTGTGAGGGGGAAGGAGGAAGGAAAGAGAATTCTCATTTCGGAGTACACAGAAGTGACTCGGGACAAGTCCATGCACTTCTGAGTCCATGCACTTCTGAGTCCATGCACTTCTGAGTCCATGCACTTCTGAGTCCATGCACTTCTGAGTCCATGCACTTCTGAGTCCATGCACTTCTGAGTCCATGCACTTCTGAGTCCATGCACTTCTGAGTCCATGCACTTCTGAGTCCATGCACTTCTGAGTCCATGCACTTCTGAGTCCATGCACTTCTGAGTCCATGCACTTCTGAGTCCATGCACTTCTGAGTCCATGCACTTCTGAGTCCATGCACTTCTTCTGAGTCCATGCACTTCTTCTGAGTCCATGCACTTCTTCTGAGTCCATGCACTTCTTCTGAGTCCATGCACTTCTTCTGAGTCCATGCACTTCTTCTGAGTCCATGCACTTCTGAGTCCATGCACTTCTGAGTCCATGCACTTCTGAGTCCATGCACTTCTGAGTCCATGCACTTCTGAGTCCATGCACTTCTGAGTCCATGCACTTCTGAGTCCATGCACTTCTGAGTCCATGCACTTCTGAGTCCATGCACTTCTGAGGTCCATGCACTTCTGAGTCCATGCACTTCTGAGTCCATGCACTTCTGAGTCCATGCACTTCTGAGTCCATGCACTTCTGAGTCCATGCACTTCTGAGTCCATGCACTTCTGAGTCCATGCACTTCTGAGTCCATGCACTTCTGAGTCCATGCACTTCTGAGTCCATGCACTTCTGAGTCCATGCACTTCTGAGTCCATGCACTTCTGAGTCCATGCACTTCTGAGTCCATGCACTTCTGAGTCCATGCACTTCTGAGTCCATGCACTTCTGAGTCCATGCACTTCTGAGTCCATGCACTTCTGAGTCCATGCACTTCTGAGTCATGCACTTCTGAGTCCATGCACTTCTGAGTCCATGCACTTCTGAGTCCATGCACTTCTGAGTCCATGCACTTCTGAGTCCATGCACTTCTGAGTCCATGCACTTCTGAGTCCATGCACTTCTGAGTCCATGCACTTCTGAGTCCATGCACTTCTGAGTCCATGCACTTCTGAGTCCATGCACTTCTGAGTCCATGCACTTCTGAGTCCATGCACTTCTGAGTCCATGCACTTCTGAGTCCATGCACTTCTGAGTCCATGCACTTCTGAGTCCATGCACTTCTGAGTCCATGCACTTCTGAGTCCATGCACTTCTGAGTCCATGCACTTCTGAGTCCATGCACTTCTGAGTCCATGCACTTCTGAGTCCATGCACTTCTGAGTCCATGCACTTCTGAGTCCATGCACTTCTGAGTCCATGCACTTCTGAGTCCATGCACTTCTGAGTCCATGCACTTCTGAGTCCATGCACTTCTGAGTCCATGCACTTCTGAGTCCATGCACTTCTGAGTCCATGCACTTCTGAGTCCATGCACTTCTGAGTCCATGCACTTCTGAGTCCATGCACTTCTGAGTCCATGCACTTCTGAGTCCATGCACTTCTGAGTCCATGCACTTCTGAGTCCATGCACTTCTGAGTCCATGCACTTCTGAGTCCATGCACTTCTGAGTCCATGCACTTCTGAGTCCATGCACTTCTGAGTCCATGCACTTCTGAGTCCATGCACTTCTGAGTCCATGCACTTCTGAGTCCATGCACTTCTGAGTCCATGCACTTCTGAGTCCATGCACTTCTGAGTCCATGCACTTCTGAGTCCATGCACTTCTGAGTCCATGCACTTCTGAGTCCATGCACTTCTGAGTCCATGCACTTCTGAGTCCATGCACTTCTGAGTCCATGCACTTCTGAGTCCATGCACTTCTGAGTCCATGCACTTCTGAGTCCATGCACTTCTGAGTCCATGCACTTCTGAGTCCATGCACTTCTGAGTCCATGCACTTCTGAGTCCATGCACTTCTGAGTCCATGCACTTCTGAGTCCATGCACTTCTGAGTCCATGCACTTCTGAGTCCCATGCACTTCTGAGTCCATGCACTTCTGAGTCCATGCACTTCTGAGTCCATGCACTTCTGAGTCCATGCACTTCTGAGTCCATGCACTTCTGAGTCCATGCACTTCTGAGTCCATGCACTTCTGAGTCCATGCACTTCTGAGTCCATGCACTTCTGAGTCCATGCACTTCTGAGTCCATGCACTTCTGAGTCCATGCACTTCTGAGTCCATGCACTTCTGAGTCCATGCACTTCTGAGTCCATGCACTTCTGAGTCCATGCACTTTCTGAGTCCATGCACTTCTGAGTCCATGCACTTCTGAGTCCATGCACTTCTGAGTCCATGCACTTCTGAGTCCATGCACTTCTGAGTCCATGCACTTCTGAGTCCATGCACTTCTGAGTCCATGCACTTCTGAGTCCATGCACTTCTGAGTCCATGCACTTCTGAGTCCATGCACTTCTGAGTCCATGCACTTCTGAGTCCATTGCACTTCTGAGTCCATGCACTTCTGAGTCCATGCACTTCTGAGTCCATGCACTTCTGAGTCCATGCACTTCTCGAGTCCATGCACTTTCTGAGTCCATGCACTTCTGAGTCCATGCACTTCTGAGTCCATGCACTTCTGAGTCCCATGCACTTCTGAGTCCATGCACTTCTGAGTCCATGCACTTCTGAGTCCACATGCACTTCTGAGTCCATGCACTTCTGAGTCCATGCACTTCTGAGTCCATGCACTTCTGAGTCCATGCACTTCTGAGTCCATGCACTTCTGAGTCCATGCACTTCTGAGGTCCATGCACTTCTGAGTCCATGCACTTCTGAGTCCATGCACTTCTGAGTCCATGCACTTCTGAGTCCATGCACTTCTGAGTCATGCACTTCTGAGGTCCATGCACTTCTGAGTCCATGCACTTCTGAGTCCATGCACTTCTGAGTCCATGCACTTCTGAGTCCATGCACTTCTGAGTCCATGCACTTCTGAGTCCATGCACTTCTGAGTCCATGCACTTCTGAGTCCATGCACTTCTGAGTCCATGCACTTCTGAGTCCATGCACTTCTGAGTCCATGCACTTCTGAGTCCATGCACTTCTGAGTCCATGCACTTCTGAGTCCATGCACTTCTGAGTCCATGCACTTCTGAGTCCATGCACTTCTGAGTCCATGCACTTCTGAGTCCATGCACTTCTGAGTCCATGCACTTCTGAGTCCATGCACTTCTGAGTCCATGCACTTCTGAGTCCATGCACTTCTGAGTCCATGCACTTCTGAGTCCATGCACTTCTGAGTCCATGCACTTCTGAGTCCATGCACTTCTGAGTCCATGCACTTCTGAGTCCATGCACTTCTGAGTCCATGCACTTCTGAGTCCATGCACTTCTGAGTCCATGCACTTCTGAGTCCATGCACTTCTGAGTCCATGCACTTCTGAGTCCATGCACTTCTGAGTCCATGCACTTCTGAGTCCATGCACTTCTGAGTCCATGCACTTCTGAGTCCATGCACTTCTGAGTCCATGCACTTCTGAGTCCATGCACTTCTGAGTCCATGCACTTCTGAAGTCCCATGCACTTCTGAGTCCATGCACTTCTGAGTCATGCACTCTGAGTCCATGCACTTCTGAGTCCAATGCCACTTCTGAGTCCATGCACTTCTGAGTCCCTGCACTTCTGAGTCCATGCACTTCTGAGTCCATGCACTTCTGAGTCCATGCACTTCTGAGTCCATGCACTGCTGAGTCCATGCACTTCTGAGTCCATGCACTTCTGAGTCCATGACGATTACGTGTAGCTTGAAGAGTCTACGTAAAAAAATGCTGGATGTAAAAGGAGCCCTGGGTGGGCGGCAGGTTGGTAGATGGGCGGCGGTCTGACGGGCGGGCGGCAGATTGGTGTGCTATTTGCCCAGGGAGGGGAGGGGAAGGGGGATGTGTGGCTTACGGTTTGCAGCCGTAGATGATTGCATGATGGATGGCTTTATTGTCGGTGGAGTTGTGTATGACACCCCACTCAACCGCATGAGTCTTGGCCTTGAGAGCAATGTCCACCACCTGTGGGCGTCATAGATGGGTGCAGATGGATGCAGATTGGTGCAAATGGGTGAAGATGGGTGCAGATCCGTGCAGATGGGTGCAGAGCGGGGCGCGAGCATGACAAGGGTGCGCTGAACTTAATGTGACCCAAAAGCGCACGGAATGAGAAGAAACTGAAACGCCTGAGAACAAAAGAAAGCACATGGGGCTTTCAGGGGCAGTTGGGGCGTCTAGGGAATATGGATGCATTCGGGAGGAGAACTAGATTGGAAAACATATGTGCAATGCGTGCTTCGAAACATATGTGCAATGCGTGCTTCGAAACATATGTGCAATGCGTGCTTCGAAAAGGCGCGCGCATGCACGGTGCTTCGCAGCAACGGCGCCGCGCACCTTGCAGCGATAGGTCGTGAAGTCCGTTGACAGCCGATAATTCGTGAACGTGAAATTCAGCATGCTCTCCTGCTGCTGCTGCTGCGCCTGCTGCTGCTGCTGCTCAGAAGTAGATTACTCCTGCTGCCTATGAGTCGACTAAAAAACGCACCTTGCAGCGATACGTCGTGAAGTCGGTTGGCAGCCGATAATTAGTGAACGTGAAATTCAGCATGCTCTCCTGCTGCTGCGCCTGCTGCGCCGGCTGCTTCTCTGCCTGCTGCGGCGCAGCCAGAGACGCAGCGGATGCGGAGGAGGAGGCGGAGGGGGGAGGCGCAGGCGCGATGATGGACGGGCCGGGAGCAGGCGCGAGCACGAGGGCGGACGCGCCGAGGTCGGAGCTGTGATAGCTGACGTCAGTCGTGGCGCCCATCGCCCAGATGACGTTGTGAAGCGTCCCGGGAACTATGGGCCGGTCGTTGCAGTCGCCTGTGTCCAGCTTGCGCCACACGTGGACGGTGGTCCACGTGTCGCCCGTGGATTGGTTCGTGGTCTGGCTGCCGCCCAGCACGTGCCAGTCCTGCTTGACGTCGAGTGCGATTCCTTCGGTCGTCTTGTTGAAGATGAAGCGATCCGTCGCATACACGCGGGCGTCGGACTGTGCGACCCATGCGACGAGGGCATCTGTTCGCATACGAATGCGGCGTGCGGGATGAGCGAGAGCAAGATGACGGATGAATCGACATCTGATCTGATCCCTACATTCCGTAACCGTCGCGTACAACCAGCGGAAGATGTACTCATTGCGGCAATAAGATCGAACACAATTCAGTTGTTCAATGAAAAGAAACAATCAGGAATCACACCTAACCCGACCGTATGGATTTCGTACCTGAGCCCACCATGGAGCCAACCTCGGAGAGGCCTATACCGAACCATCCCGTCGTTTTGGCATTCACTGCCATTTGGATGGTCGCATCGCTAGTGTTAACGGTCCAGTAAAGCTCGAAGCGCGGATCCAGCAACGCAACATTGGAGTAGGAGGAGAGCGACTCGGGAAGAGAAGTCGCGGATGCAGAACGATTACAGAAAACCGTTGAGAATGCCACTAATAGGAGTAAGCAGCACGAGGTTGCGGGCGAAACCCTGCAGCCGTGACGTCTGAGCGCCATGATCTCAAGCTCTCACTGAGAAAAGTATTTCAGGGAAGGAAATAGAAGAATGGTCCTGTCGCTGAACTGCGGTGCAGTCAGAGACAGAGCGCGGTCGTCGGGATTTCGCACAGCGTCTACGAATTGGCTGTGCTGTGCGTCGAACCGACGGGGAGTGTATGGATATAAGGATTCTACTTGCTTCTAATTTATAGAATCCGCTGATGCGAGAGATGGGGGTGGTGTGAGAGAGAGAACGGTTTTCCAACACAGAATTATCAAACGTGGGGAACAAACAGAAATGTCCGCGTAGGTGGAAAAATGCGTGTGCTGTGTGGTTGCTGCTGCGTGGAAAGGAGAGGCAGCTTGTAGGCCAGGGGGGAGAGTGTGGGGGATACAGTTTGCCAAGCAAAGTCCTATGGTGTAAGGGAGTCCTATGGTGTTCTCAGATTCGTTTTGCGGATCACGGAAGAGATTCATGCCACCGTGGCATGTGGCTTCATGTTCGTAGAAATTCCTCGGGATGCCCAATTGGTGAAACATAGCGCCACGTGTAGGTCAGGGGGAATAAGGTACGGATAAACATTTTTGGGTTGCGTAGCAACCCCTTTACATTTGGTAACACTTTTTTCGGTCGACTCGAATGAACAGTGAATTTTTTGTCATTTTCCCAGCGTCTGAAGCAATCTCTTTAAAACCAGGGTGCACATTCAACGCGGTTCGGCTTGAGATGTTGGGAAGGGGGTTTGGAGAAAAACAGTGATTGGCTTACGAGGGGCGACAAAAAAATGATTCCGCTAGAGCTTCGGGCATTTCGTAGGTGGCGGGAGGGGGTGAAATGGCGGGAGTGGGTGAAACCGAATGGCGGGAGGGATGAAACAGATTGGCGGGAGGGGGGGGAAACGAAATTGCGGGGGAGGGGGGAAACAAAATTGCGGGGGAGGGGGGAAACGAATTTCGACGGGGAGGGGGAAATGAAATTGCGGGGGCGTGGGGAAACGAAATTGCGGGGGAGGGGGGAAACGAATTTCGACTTGAAGGGGTTGAAAGCACACCTCGTAACCCACTCAGTCAAGGGATAACCTTTGATGCACATTCAGCTGAATGTGCACCCCGGTTTTAAAGTTTTGAGAAAGATTGCTTCAAATGTGTGGAGATGACTGCACTGAAACTCAAGAGTCGCCAAAAATAGTGAAACCAAATGAGACCAATTGTTCCATAATCGTCGATAAATACGGCGAATGGAAACAATTGGTGGCCTTAACATATTTTACATCAAACACAATTGACGAGACAACAAATTCGACGAGGATGCAAATTACGGTATTTGCATCTACGGAACATAACGACAACACTCAACAACAACAAATGTCATAAAGTGAATGACAAACTGCATCGGTGCTACAGCGATGGATCCGGTATGCTAAGGCGAGCAACGCTGCCCCAACAACGATCCCCACCTCAATTGCAGAACCGACACAGTTTAACATGACACTTTATAACAAACACGAACGAGCACACACGACATTGTACTGGTACAACGACGACAACGCATAACAATTATGAGTGTCTTGGGGAGAATGCTAAAATGCATCGATGATGCAACAAAGGTTGGTCTGGCACGCTAAGGCTATTGCCCCACCGGCGATCACAACCTGAGTTGCATACACGAGGCACTTCAGCACACGCCTTGAGACAGACACAAACGATACAAACAACACTACTGTACATACGATACATATCTCACACATGCTCACACACACACATACACACTGAGACACACGCACACACTGACACGCACGCAAACAAGCACAGATACATACAGATAGTCAGCACACAACCATCATGACATTCAGCTATTAAGAAATCATCACTAGCCAATCACCCCTTATCCTCCCTACACCCCTCCCTCCCTCCCTCCCTCCCTCCCTCATCTCCCTCCCATTGCCTCCCTCATCTCCCTTCTCCGCCAAACATAATCAAAGAATTCAGCTCACGCACCCTGCACATAGTAAAAACAGAGAATGCAACATACGCCCCGCACAAGAAAGCAAAAAAAGAGGATGTTCACACATTGTGTACAAGAAAACAATAAACAGAGAATGCAACTCATGTGCGGAGGCCAAGCAGGAAACAACTCACCCCCACTGCATAAGAAAACAAAAACAAAGAGTACACCTCATAGCATTGCAAAAGAAAACAAAAGCAGAGAATGCAGCTCACACACTAGACACGAAATAAACACAATAAAAGAAGATGAGCAATGGGTTTGACAGCTCACAGAGGAAAATGGGTATCAGTCGTGGCACCACAGATACTACACCAGCATGATGCCATACCTTGAAGCCACCCTCAAGTTCAACTTCACACTCACAAACGCACTCACTCTTGTACTCAATCTCGCACCCACTCACACACTTGCTCTCGCACACGCCGTCGCACGCACTTCTCACTCACACCCGCACTCATACCCGCGATCACCCTTGTTCTCACCCTCGCACTCACTATCACACTCGCTCTTCACTCACAACTCTTCTTCAGCACTCACAGAAACACACACACAAACACGTGCACTCATCCTCGTACTCATCCTAGCACGCACACTCGAACGCACATTCGCACTCCCTTTTGCACTCACACCCATACCCTTGCACTCAACCTCGCACTCACACCCATACTCACTCTCACATTTGCACTCGCCCTCACTCCCTACCACACTTGCTTTCACACTCGCTCGCGCACTCACGCTCACACTTGCTCTCTCATTCACCATCGCACTCACGCTAACACTTGCGCTCACAACCGCACTCACCCTCAACTGCATGCGCACATTTCAATCTTGCACCCACCCGCACTCGCACCAATTCACACCGCACTCACTCTTGCAACCACTCACATACACTCACGCCCTAAGCGGAATCGGCTTAGGCACAACAGCCCATGGAGCCCAGGCCAACGGTGCACGCCGCCTCTCCCTCCCACGCTCCCTACCACACGCTCTTGGTGCTCCCTCCAGCTCTTCCTTCACTCTCACATCCGCTCTCTCCCAATATTTTATTGGTAGTGAAGTGTAACGCAAGAGGAAACCAACATCGATAAGCATAAACTACAAACAAAGGTATGAGAAATTAGGTAAGATTCGAGAGAGGGGGGGGGGGGGGGGGGGGGGGGGAAGGAAAAGGGACCGGGAAGTTAGGGCCCACGCCGCCATAGCACTACGTTAACGTGCCCAACCAAGTACCCTAGAAGCCAACCCGAAAGATAACAATGCCCAAAGTTCTAGAAAACACAAAATTTGGTTACATTTCTTAACCTCCGTATTTCTATACAACTCTACCAACCCCTGCCCTCTCCTTCCCTCTTTCTCTACCTCTTCCCCTCCCTCTCCCTCTCCCTATCCCTCTCCCTCTCCCTCTCCCTCTCCCTAGCCGTACTCGCCCACTTCCTCGCCCTGTCGTCATTTTCTACTGTCTATTCCCCTCGCTCACCGTCTTGTGCCGACGTTGCTCGCAGCCCCCCGTTGCTGTTGCCGCCGCCGCGGAGCCCTTGCAAGCCACATCCCTGGAAAGCGGGTGTGGAGAACGGGCGGGGGAGGAGAGGGTATGAGTTATCACCATGTGCACATGACATCAGCAAACGCAAACGCCAAACGGCGCCAGCACCAGCGCCAAAAGGCGCCAGCGGCTGCGCCAAACGGCGCCAGCGCTAAAAGGCGCCAGCGCCAGCGCCAGCGCCAAAAGGCGCCAGCGCCAGCGCCAAAAGGCGCAAGCACCAGCGCCTGCGCCAAACGGCGCCAGCGCCAGCGCCAGTGCCAAACGGCGCCAGCGCCAGCGCCAAAAGGCGCCAGCACCAGAGCCAAAAGGCGCCAGCGCCTGCGCCAAACGGCGCCAGCGCCAGCGCCAAAAGGCGCCAGCACCAGCGCCAAAAGGCGCCAGCGCCTGCGCCAAATGGCGCCAGCGCCTGCGCCAAACGGCGCCAGCGCCAGCGCCAGCGCCAAAAGGTGCAAGCGCCAGCGCCAAAAGGCGCTAGCGCCAGCGCCAAACGGCGCCAGCGCCAGCGCCAAAAGGCGCCAGCGCCAGCACCAAAAGGCGCCAGCACCAGCGCCAGCGCCGAACAGCGCAAGCGCCAGCGCCAAAAGGCGCCAACGCCAGCGCCTGCGCCAAACGGCGACAGCGCCAGCGCCAGCGCCAAAAGGCGCCAGCGCCCACGGCGCCCGCGCCCAAAGGGGCCACCGCGAACGGCGCCAGCGCCAACGGCGCCCGCGCCTTACACGCCAGTGACGGCAAAGGCGCGAGCGCCCTAAGGCCAACGCCCTTGGCGTTAACGCCCAAGGGCCAGCCACCTAGGCGCCATCGGCCTAGGTTTGAGCGCTAAGGCCGCGAGTGCTCTATGCTATTTTGCCTAATGTGCGAGGGTCAAGGGCAAGCGCTCTAGGCGCGCGCGGCTTAGGCACTAACAAGGTAGCGTAGTACCTGAGAAGGTCGTAGGAGTTCTAGATTGACGAGAGTTGGAAAGAGCGTGAGAGAAAGGGTAGAGAGCATTT